GGAGCACCTCTCCTATGAGGAGAGGCTGAAAGAGTTGGGGCTGTTCAGCCTGGAGAAGAGAAGGCTCCGGGGAGATCTTATTGCGGCCTTCCAGTACATAAAGGGGGCCTACAGGAGAGCTGGGGAAGGACTTTTTACCACGGCATGTAGTGATAGGACGAGGGGGAATGGCTTTAAACTGGAGGAGGGCAGGTTTAGATTAAACATTAGGAAGAAGTTTTTCACTTTGAGGGTGGTGAGGCTCAGCAACATGTTGCCCAGAGAGGTTGTTGAGGCCCCATCCCTGGAGGTGTTCAAGGCCAGGTCGGACATGGCCTTGGGCAACCTGGTCTAGTGGGAGGTGTCCCTGTCTATGGCAGGGGGGTTAGAACTTGATGATCTTCAAGGTCCTTTCCAACCTAAACAATTCTATGGTTCTATGATTTCTGGTAAGATACCAAGTCTGATGAACTGGGGTGACCACTGAACAGATGAATGGCCTCTGATCAAAACATCAGAACTTGCAGTCTAGATCTTTTATGTGATTCAATCAATATTTTTTTGCAATGTATTACTTCCAAAAGTGTTCTGGACGGGCAGGGAGCAGTCCCTGTCCATGGTGCTTGCCTACACAACCCCAACCAACTGATCACCGGCATCAGGTTGAGTCAGATGAATTTCTGGCCAGAGCACTGACAGATTAAATAGTTAATGGGCAACTGTATCAGCTGGTACTCTGCTAACATGAAGCTGCTAAGCTAGACAACCATTTGTCTGTTTGTCATAAGCCTCGGAGATCACTTCAGGAAATTGGAGATACTGGAACAAAGGTATAAAAGCAAATATCTGTTCCATTTTGGGACACAGCACTGAATTCAGGCCTCTTCTTCAAATTTCAAACTCATGCACTTAAGATGATTGCTCTCATAACACCATGCAAGGTTCATTCATAGATGATTATTTCAGAAGTCTGCTGAGCTACTATCAATTCCTGAGAGACAGTGACAATATGAATTTCAATGACTTCTAGGCAGAGGAAATAATATGCAGCCTACTTCTCGCTTTTCAGATGAACATTGCTATCACACTGATCAAGACTAATAAGACAGTTATAAAGGACAGAAAGGAGAACTACACAAGTTAATTTCATAGTTTTGAGTTTTAGGATGCTCACAAACAAGCCTCTGTAAGGTAGATATCAGGTTCATAAACTCTCCAGACAAAACTATCAAGAGTCTTCTTGATAGAGAATGTAAACTTTGAAAACAAAGAACACGCTACAGAAACCTTAAATAGCTCTGCAATGATTAAAAGCATTTGCCTTAAAATGTATTTCAGATTTATTTTATTGGAGTATTTTAAACTAAGACAGCATTTCAAATGCAAAAAAAGTTCTTTATTCAGTCACCAAAGACCGCAGAAAGATTTAAAAGGCTTTAGTAGATATGGCTTTCCCACAAAAAAAAGTGTAAAAATCCTAGTTTTCTACAATCTTGAGTAGAAATTTGGCAGCTGCCAAAAATTATGATAAAATCTCAGTACAATTCAGAAATCTTTCTGCATTTCAATAAACCAGTCTGATGATATTTACAGATGTAGCAAGATGTTTGTGATGTGAGCTATAGAGAAAAATATTTAAGAACAAATTAATTTTTATGAAATATTCTGATCTATAAACCTAAAAAAGAGATCTGAAATTCTCTGATAAAGACAATTTTACCTGGGTTAAAATAAAAAAGCCTAGATGACTTGTCTAAGAAAAGAAAAACAGGTGAATACAAGTCCTGTGAGTTGTAAACCAAACCACCTTGTTTCACCTATAATTTAAGGATGATTAAAGCGACATAAAGCTGAGTTCTAGGCCCTGATAACTGGAATGCTGAAATTTCATCAACTTACAGACTGCATCTATTTCAGAAGATACCGCTTCTGAAGGCCAGTTTATCTTAAGAGTATGCTATTGCTGAAAGTAAGAGGGAGACACATTCAGCATAAACACAATTACATATTTCTTGATATATCTTACTCCAAACTTCCCATGATAAATACATTACCAGCGGAAATGACTGGTTTTTTGCAAAGCTTACTCTGTGGCAGAGATCAGTTTAAAAAAAAAAAAAAAATATCGAATCACACACTAACCAAAATGTCTACATTGCCAACAGCCTCATTTTAGAAGGCTGAGATGGCATACATACAGTGTTTCTACACAGCATGGCATATTTCCCAGGCAAAGGATACAACTTCACGAAAGAGATAAGCCTGTTTAACGTCTGACTGTCATATGAAGACATGGCCCTATAAAGCCACTGCTCCAGCCCATCTCACCTCCTCCTGTCCTTCTGCAGAAAATGAGTTGGGTGGGTTTTTTTCCTCTCCAGTTTAGGTTCCTGAAACAACTCATCTCAGCATAGACAAGCGCCAAAGAGATACAGGCAGCTGCAGCTACCAATAAAATCAACTCAATCGTGATGTTGAATCACACCATAATACGTCCTACCCCTAAGCAGGCTGACTTGCCTGGGCAAGGTGTCATACCAACACTGTTATACCAACACTCTCAAACCTTCAGAGATAGCTCACACTTCCACATAACATTATACTGTGCCCTGTCAGTACTGCACAGACTTCTCAACAGTTTTCAAAGTTTTCATCTATAAATCAGGTGAACTAACACTAGGTTGAAAAACAGTTGCTCACCGGGAAATCTGGTTCAACCAAGGTAGTGGAACGTCAGCAATGTAGAAAACAGGGAATATAGAGAGCGAGCTGAAGTCAAATAGAAGTTTTCTCCATTAGAAACATAAAGCATGGAGGTCCACAGAAACAATTTAAGTTTTCCAAGGCACGAGCTGTACTTATTAAAATGAAAGGATCAGTAAAAGCATTTTAGCAGAAACATTCTTTATAGCTTACCCAATTGTTTTTTTTGCCAGCATAGATTTCCATGTTTTCTCCATACTGGGGCTCTTCAAGTAAAGTCTGATACTCAAACATGAGACGAGAGCTCTCACGTAATCGGCTGCACTGAAATTGGTGATACTGCTGCACAAGCTCTTTCACAACAAGCAGGAGGCATTCAGGGTTTGAAGGATTCCAAGAAGCCAAATTCTGTTGAATTAGAAAAGAACAGAGATCAAAATTGTTTACAGGAATAGAAAGACAAGCACTCCCCCTTTCAAACCGATACCAGAGGCACATACGCATGGGGAAGCTTTGTCACAAAGCTAAACCGTAATATTAAATGCAAAGGTTGTATCATGCTTTGGAAGAAAACCAGGTCAAGCAGCAAGAGCAAGCCTTAATGTAAATTAAGAGTCCATATAGAGACCTACCAGAAAACTGGTAACAGGGCTACTACCAGGCATAGATAGGCCCAAATTACCGTTCTATTCGTCCCTAAAATTATACTGTTACATATGAGAACTTGAAAAGTTTTAATTCAAAAAATTAAAACGGATATGAAACACATTGTGATCAGGTAAGTACAACCCCACACAGTATCTGACTCAAAAAGCAGTCAGCCAAGTGAATATGACAAATTAACACCAACTACGGAAACCAGTCTGCTTCATTATTCAAATAGTGGATATAGTATTGACAGTGACGGAGCAAATGGGTTCTCTTCTGTTGCCTCAACCTTGTGCTTTACTCCACCTTGACTGCCTCTTCACTAGAGTTACCTTGACTCATCCCCTTAGCACAAATGCCATCCATACACAAGTCTTCAATGTGCCTGGCAGAAGTTTTAATTACAAGTTGACTGTACATGAAAAAACACAGTTAACGGAAATAAAAATGTTAATACAATGAAGATAACTGTGTCAGTAGCAATGTTATCTCTCAGTTTAACTACCCTAACATTGGCTTAGACCAGTCCTCCATGCACAGTAAGTTTTACTCAGGAGATTTTCTGTGTTACAAACCATACCTAACATGATCAGTGTCGCACGCCTACATCTGGTTGACCTAGAATGGATCCACATTAAGGGTAGATGAGAAGTCACCCTGTGCTCCATGCTGACAGGACATGAGACAGTTTTGATGCAAAAACCCATATGCTTTGTACTTAGGTCCTCAACCGGTCTTGATACAAGCTCAGGCCATGTTAACATAGTCATGCAACTTTTGGTCCGCTTTGAGTATATGCAAAATTATTCTGTATTTCTGTATATTACATAGACATATCACAACAAACTAGCTGCAACAGGATTTTGAATTGAATGGATTGTACAGTTCACATTAAGATCCTCAAAACTGGCAAAGATGTCTGTATTTTACAACTAAATGCAGATACAATACAGCAGCTTCAAATAAAATTACTTATCAGTATCTGAACTCAAAAGTGTTTACTTTTGTCCTGGAAGTTGCAGATATTTCATTAACATATTGTGCAATTTACATTCTTCAGCAAGGACAAAAAAAAGTATTAGCCCTTTTTTTTTTTTTTTTTCCAGTGGGAAAACTGCTTTGGTATGCATCATTTTCTACAATGAAAGGACAGAAAACATTTCTGTGCTCTGAAGTAGCTATCTTAAGACTGCCTTGTATTCAAACACATAAAAAAATTACATTTCTTTATTTAGGTTAAGTAAATGAATGAAGCTGGATAAAAAAAAAATCCCCTAAAATATACAAGCTTTTCATATTTTGTGTAACACCAAAACTAATAAATACAAGTGAACAGGTGGCACAGAGAGGTTGTCGAGTCTCCATCCCTGGAGATACTCAAAACCTGACTGGACAAGGTCCTGGACAGCCTGCTCTATCTGACCCTGCCTGGGCCGGGGGCTGGACTAGATAGATGATCTCTAAAGGCTCTTTCCAACCCCAGCTATTTTTTGTTTCTATGAAGGTGTTTAAAAAAAGCTCGACTAAAAGAGAGGATCTTATCAAGGTAAGACTCCGTAGTTCTGACCTGAAAAGAAATTAAGGAGTTGTGTAGAAATTTCATCTTCTGATACTCTGGAAGGGCAGATAGAAAGCTTAATCAATTATTCACCAGGCACCATACCTTCAGCTCTACAATGAAATCAACTTGTAGCCTAATCTCTAACTATGTGGCTATTTCCGTTAAAAAGGCTTATAATTTTTATTATCTCTGATGACTGTAGTTCATGATATATCCCTTTGGAACGGTTTTATGCAGACTTCGGTATATGTGTGTGATAGCTTAATACTTCAGGCCTCCCACAACTTCATATTTTTTTCCCTCTATATTTAGATGCTATCAAAATTAATTTCTCATTTTCAGCATCACCACTTAAAACATACAAGCCTAATTTGTCAGTGAAAGCGACATGAACTATGTAGTCCTTACCTGAAAATCTTGCTTTTTTTTGAAGAAAAAAACCTTATAATGTTTACTAAGGCAATTTTATTTCAAATCTTACCACATGTTGTTTTTCCTGAAGTCCCCAGTCCCGGAGGGGATCAGTTTTAAGAGAACCTCACCTACATTCTACCCACCCCCTCCACCCCTTCTCATTTAAGTTAATAGCTACCAGAAAGCAAAGAAATCTGTGTATGCACTACCTACATATCGAAACAAAAAAAGACAAAAATACAAGAAATACAATTTAGAAATACAATCCTTTTTCTAGCTCGTAAACATGGGGTTGAGACCACTGTCATGACTTTCAGCAACATGATTCATGATTTTTGAATGACTATGGCTGGCAGTGCTGCATTAACTGTCTATGCATCACTCATTCCTGTGATTAGGATAAAAATCATGCATTTCTGTCACGCATAAAAAAGAAGATGGGAGGTGGAAATAAGAGTTTTGGAAGGTGGGTACTTTCATTCTTCAGAAACACAGACGTTGTTCTTGCTTTGATGAAAAAAGAAAAACTTGTAATCTTAGAGTGTGGATGGAGCACTTAAGGGAACACTTACCTCTATAGAACAGATTTGAAAAAGACCCGATGCTTACATAATTTACAGATTCACCCAAGACTGACAGACTCAGCTGAAGAAACACAACAAGCCATAACTGCTGATCACAATTTGCTTTGTTTTACATGGATGAATGAACAGTTCAACGAACAGCTACAGGATTAAACTGTACTCCTATTCTCCTGCTCACTGTGATTCCGGTAGAGGGGACTACCCGGCATGGCTAAGATACTATCCTTGAACTTCTGCCTTTAGAAGCTACCACAGTGTCACTGACTCCACATTTGACCGTGACTTGAAGTAGAAGTACTCTGCTTTTTTTCCTCATAGACAGGAAGAACACCTATTAAATAGGAATATTATCATTGCTGTATCTTAAAAAGAAAAATATATTCCAGAGTAACTGGTGAACAAGTGAGATACTAACACGGTTCATATAAGTTCCTCAAACGCATACTACAGAGTGACTGAAAGCCTTGTTCTGCCTTGTCTGCCATCTACAGCTGGTAAAAATTTATTCCCAACTTGAACCCATTTAAGCTTATCTGATTCTACAAAATATGAGAGAACGTTTGTCAGGTAGACAGCATCTTCTAGGAAACACATTTTGTATCATGCAGTCTGAAACCAGACTGTGTATAACCTTAAATTTCCTGTTCCCAAGCTGCTGCTCAAATAAAGCATTTCCAGAAAGCCAGAGGATGTAATATGCCAGTGTGTATTGGTATCAGCCAGACAAGTGGGAATAACCTTTCCTCCTAATGACACTGGTATAACACAATAGAAATGTTCTGTCAAAGGAAATGACCAACAATATTTTAATAACTGACCTAAATGCAACCGAGCCTTTTGTTTTTTAAATAACATTACACTACAGAACAAAAAAAGAGCAAGAGGAAATCCATTGTCGTTTGTCCAGCATGGAGCTCGAGTATTGCTCTTTTCAAAGAATTCGAGAACACTGCATCAAAACAGTGTTTATGCTTTATTGCCTTAAAGCTACAGGAATGAAAATGAATGGTTTGACTGTAGGATCCTTATTAAATACCTTTCATTTACTACCTAACGTTCAAAGTATGAATTGGTTATAAAAACAAATCACCTGGAGAAAAATTCAACTACCCACCTAGTACATACAGCAATTACAATGGATTCTCACTGATTAAAAAGTAAATATACAATGGTTACACAAATTTTCTGCAACACAAGTTCTGATTTAAATAATCATTAATTTTTAACTTTAGAATAATATTATTGTAGTGCTTGTTATTTGGCAATTGGCCATTACATTTCTAGCCGTTTCGTTAACTTTGCAGAAGTGATGTTCTTTTCAGATCTAAATTTACAAATTTTAACACAAACACTTCTGAATACAAGGACATATTTACGTACAAAATCTCTTTTTACATACCTTTAAGTGTTGCTTACTTGCCCTAAGCACTAGGTTCATTCATATGAAAATACTTTAAAACATTTTATCATGATCCAATTTCAACAGTATGCCAAAATACGTGCTACATTGTTCTCTCGGTTTCAAATGGTACCTTCTTTAATCTTCCTTCTATTTTTTAAATCAAAGACAAAGTAAGCAATTACCTGTAACATACATTGTTGAAACCTAACTAAAGCAGAATTTGATACTTATCAACTTGATCCCTTGTAGAATGCCTTAATCGCTACAATTTCAGCATTAAAATGAGTCTTCCAAGAACACGCAAGGTTTCATCACTTTAGTCAATGACAGCAGTGTCCCTGCAACAGTGAACTGACCTCCTTCTTTAGAGATAAAGGACCTTCCAAATGAAATTTTATTTAGCAATACAGTATTGTATACACTATTAGAATTTGGAAGTTGTTTTAATAAGCAAAATCTTAAACTAGAGGCTTTGGTGCAAAAAGGAGTAGCAGCCTGTGAGTTTCATTTTCTGATTGTTTGCCTAAAGGCTGTATTCCAACCGTAGACAATACAGCCTTTTACGAAATAGTATTTTTAAATATTTAAAACATTAGAAGAATAAAGCAAGCTTCCAGTGTTTCTGTGTTCCATTGCTCCAAGTTTTGCTACAAAACTCAGATCTTTCATAAGAATTATGCTCTGAATGCAACTTCAAAATTATGAGTTTTAGTTGTTACAGCTTCAGAAAAACCCTGGAAATATGAAAACACACATAATCTCATTTTCTACATCCAGACTTTCAAGCCTGGCAGGTATG